TCATTTATCCACGTGTACAACTGACGTGGCTTAAATTTTTGATATATCTGTGAGTTAACGGACGATTTTTAACGGAAGGACCAAATCGGGGTAAAAATGGTAAACAGTAAGGATCAAATCAGGGATTTTTTTAGTTCAGGGACCAAATCTGGGGTCCGTACAATAGTTCAGGGACCAAAAAGGGGTTTTAACCTATTTTTAATCTTAATCCTAGGATATTACATCATGAAATTAATAAAGATTTCAAACTTTCAATAGGCGCACCTGTTGTCACTTGTCAAGATATTGCTTGAAAGTAAACAAAAATGCAAACACAAATGCTGCGAACAATAATGACAACTTCACCACGCGACACCATCATTTGGAAAAATTTTCTCCCCTTTAACTTTGTCTTCGTCTTTTTCTCTTTGTTGGGTTGTTTAACCTATATCTCATAGTATGTATTAAAGGTATATTAATTATATTATTTTTATTATAAATTTATATTAAAAAATAAAAATTAAAATTTAATTTATCAATTATTTAATTAAATTTATTTATTTGATATTAATAATAAAATTAATATTAATTTTTATATTTTTTATGTGTTTTTATAATAAAAAATACTTTTAATACACGTCATAAGGGTACAAATTAAAATTTTTTTTCTTTATTGACCTTTTTTTAACATTTTTTATTAAGCTACTGAAGAAAATAATCCATATAATTTTAACAAGTGACTCTTTTTATATTTATATTATAAATTTTTTATTACATTTTTAGTGTGAGGCTTTTTTTACTTAATATATTCCTTATACGCAAACCTAGTATGGTCGTTAGTTATGCCCTTTAATATTTTTCACATGGGGTTATGAAAAATTAAACCTTTTAATAATTAAAATATTAAAAATTACAATAAAAAACTTAGATATTTTTAATAAATTCATATTAAAAAATTATTTAAAATATTTAAATAATTTTATAAAATATCTTAATATTTTAAATGACAAGAATACTGTAAATTTTACATTTGTTTTTTCTCTATGATATTACCCTAGAGCTCTTAAATAAAAATATTTCTAACATGTACTTAGATACATTAATTATAATCTTTGGTAATTAATTTAATTTAAAAAGTTAAAATAGTAACTTTTATTTTATTAATCATTTAATTAAAAGTATGCATATGGTATTGGTAATAAAAATAAAATAACTTTTGTAATTTTTATAGGGGTTCTTTTTAACTCGTTTCCTTAAAATATATTTATTGTACTTTTTAAACTATTAATTTGTGTAAAAAATACAAAATTTACATTTAATTTTATCAACTTTTTAATTAAATTATTTTACATGACTTAGTATTGAAAATTAAGTTTATTTTTATAATTTTTTTTATACAAATTAATAATTAAAAAATAGTATATATATACTCTTAAGAGAATAAGTTTAAAAAAATTCTTTTTATATAAAGATTAGACGTAATAATATATAATTAATATATTATTAAAATGTATTGTAGAATCATATGTTAGGTAAACCGTTTTAATAATGTGTTAAATAAGTCTTATAATTGCGGTTGACATACAGCTGGTGTGACCACTCCAAAATAGACAGGATGTTGAGAGGTGTTGTGCCCACACAATACTTCTGTGAATATTCATGCCAGAACTCATAAGTGAATTACTACTGTGTTTTTGACAAACAGCGTATCCCCAGCTTAGATTTGCACGCACGTTGTGATTAATGACTTTCATGGTGATGGTAAATGTGCATTCTCATATCAATTACACGCAATTAAAAAAAAAAAATTTTTTGTGCCGATCTCAAAATTTCATTTTGAACTCTACCTCACAGGATGTAATTAATCAAAATTAAAAAAATTAGCAATCAGTGACGTAATTGATATTCATTCCACTTCAATTTTTGAACCGAAAGAAATCAATATTGATCTCCATACCTTTGCATGATGGCAATTTGTCTCTATTCTTATAGAGTTTCATGAGGATTTCTGTCACGAGGACAGAGTGGTGAAGAATATTTTTTTTCATGAGTGAGGATAAAGAACATTTTTTTCTCACAAAATTTTGTGAGGAAATTTTTTTTTTGATCTCATGAGATTTACGGGAATCCTTAATCTTTCAAAAAATTAAAAAAATAAGTAAATTAATTTTATTTTAAAGTTAATTTAATTTTTAAACTCAA